TATATGTATACATGACAGCGCGGGAGGGACGAAGCCAAAGACCCCGGCCCAACTCTCCGGTGTCTTGGCCGGCTAGCCAGCCAGGAAGACGTAGAGAGAGCCAAGGGGGGAAAGAGCGCAGTCTCCGAGGGTGGCGGCATAGAGTGTCCAACGTGATGGACGGAGCGGCCGATCTCGATGCGCGTATGTGCCACGTACACCCACACACGCACACACACACACATAGAGAGAGAAGAGATCCACACCTCCCTTGATGTGCAGCGTCGGTGCCATTGGACGCAGGTGGTTGTAACCTTTGTCGAGCCCTCCGCACTTCCCCACACCCCCCCCTTCCATCAGCCCCGTATAGGTATTCATGGGCCTTATATACTATGTGTGGCCATCGCACGTAATATCAGCAGGACACGAATCATCATCATCCCTCAGCTCCGAGGTAGCGCGCTCTCGGGTTTCTTTCTTCACGGGTTTGAGCGCGTGTGCTGGGCCGATCCTCTTACACGTGCATCAATGTGGGACTCACGAAATTTCTCGCCTTCTAATTCCGAGGCCTGTACGGAATCGTCGGCGAAACGCGACACCCACGCCGAGAGGCCCCAGGAAGCGGGCGCTGCTTCTTTTTTTTTTTTTTTTCTTTTTTTCTTCCTCCCCATAATGTCCTTTCGGACCATGCGGAGGACGATGCCCGCGAGCTGTTGCCGTGTCCGCAGGAGGTGAGCCTTGCACACCGATCGTATACACTCGAGTTTTAGGGATGATACAATTATTAGAGGGTGGTATTTTTTTTTTTTTTTATCTTTATACTTTTTCGTTCTACAAATGGGCCCTTGTCGTGTATTTCACGTTTGCATCCGCACATATTTGTCGAGTAGATGTTTATTTTTTCGTATTTTTTAGAGAAAAAAAAATTTTTTTTCTTGAGTATAGCGCCAAAATCATTTACACCCGCGAACAAATTAGATATACCTACATAAAAATACACGTGCATATATTTATATAAATGTTAATCCATGGGGTCAAGTTGCACCAGAAATGTCTTTTCCAACTCCCCGCGTATGCAGCAAAAAAATATAGCTAATAAAAATCTTTCCCTTTCCCGTAAAGGGGTCAACGACTGCACCGATGAGGTGGTGTTTTCTCTCGCTGCAGGATATACTACCTATACGTGCCATTAGTATCCACACATACACACACACACACACACACACACACACATGTATATAATACAGGGGCACCATTAAGAGTCGGAGGGACACAACAATCCCGAGGTGTATATGTAGGTATATAGCTTGAAATTGCTGCACCGTCTATACGTCTGTATATAGAGGAGGAGAGGAGGAAAATTTGAAAGTCGCAGGAGAAAGTGCTGCAACGGTGCATGCTATCGCCACCTCCTCCGTATAGCTTAGGATATATAATATCCTTGCATTGGTTGCGCGCTCATAGTTGGCACTCTCTCGCGTGCAGCTGATGATGGCAAGGAAAATCCGCGGGCTCTGCCCCACTCCCTATACACATACGTATATATAAGTACAGAGTCTCTCTCTCTCTCCGTTATATCTTATTTTCTTAGTTTATATATATATATACACGCGTGCGCGCAACTCGGAGCGCTCAGCCGTTAAGTCACAGCGTGCCTCCCTCCCTCCCCCGCTCCTTTACCCGTGCAGTGCTCTAATATACACAAGGTGTGCACTATCAGGCCCTCCTCTCTCTCTATATGTACTTCCTGCTGCTGTTCCTTCTTCGTCTTCCCCGAGGAGGGGGAGGGGGGGAATGCAAAGAAACACGCGCTCGACACTATGATGTATATGATGTGCGTGTGCCGGTTCCGCTAATCTCAATGACGACCTTTCAGGAGAGGAAAAGAGCCTTGTTTTCGCTTCCTCTTTCTCTCCTCTCCGACACCACCGCCGCCTCTCCTGCTCAGCTGATGCGTTGGTTTCTCCATCTCCCACCTCCTCCTACTTGCACGGATTCTCTTTCTGGGTTTGCTCTCTTATCTCCGCTCACTCTCTCGCTCGGAGGTCGATAACCACCACTTGTATATACCTATACACTTGCATTTTGGGTGTACAGTTTTTTTTTTCACTTATTTAATTTTTTTTTTTTTTTTTTTTCTTTATACGCTGTTGCTGATGCAGATAAAAGTGGAAGTGATAGACGACGATCCGAGGCAGCAACAGCCGGCGACCTTGACTTTTTTCTTCTTCTTCGGCTGTATGTACGTCAAACGTGCGGGATATTGGATTTTTATTTTATTTTATTTTATTTCTTTTCCGAAACGCCGATCGTCCATGCAAAGTCTATAATATGCTAATCGGTTCTCGATCGGTATCCCCATTACAATATACCGGTTACTCCCGTACTCGTAAAAATCGCCGATTATGCATCAGGTTGCTTTTACGCCTGTATTCTCTCATTCTCGAGTTTACAATATACATAATTCGACACTCCGTAAATCTAGCTTTTTTCATTATGGCACAGCAAAAAAAAAAAAAAAATAAATAAAAAAAGGATATTATTTATAATCGTCAAGCTGGAGCTGTCGCCTCCAGTATTTTACTTTCTCTTCTCGATATAACTCGCTGTTTTACGTACTCTGCCGAGATATTAATTTACTGCGGGAACGTGGCTGATACCTCGGAGCCATAGAGAACCCGGTGCCTTTTTTTTTCAATATCCAGCCGGATTATCGCGTGCCGCGCCGCTCGCTGTCACTTTGGCGATAAAATTCACTCCTTCCCGCTATACATGGCGAACTCAGACAGCTGACTAGGTTTTTTTTTTCTCTCCCTCTCCTGTTGGTAGTGCGCGATCGAAATTGCATATTTCTCCGTTTCGCACCTTGGCAACGATAGGTTGCATGCACGAGAGATTACAACAACCACGACTGTATATCTATTTGCCCAATCCACCCGAGCGTAACTGTATATTGTGTATAAATGGTACACACTAGGCGTGACCTCGAAAAACCGCATCGGTCCGGATTTTCAGCGGCACCGGCTCCGTCCCGTTGACCCGTTTTCCGTCTCTCGAGCTGATTCGGTGGATTAAAAAAAAGCAACCCGTTTCGGCCAACTCGAGCGAAAAACTTTTATTGTAATGGTACGCGTGTAGGGTACCCCCGCTTATTGCAGAAAGACAGATAACTGGTGTCGTAACGCATAGGAGAAAGAAAAACCAGACTAGCGCACTTTCGTTTCTCCCCCTCGATTGCGACACGATCGCTCTGATTACCGATTTACGAGGTACGGAGTCGCGGGCATGGGCTGTGTATAGGATTTTTTTCGACTTTGCTGAAATATAATGGAAAGAAAAAAACATTCGCGCCAATCAGTTTGACGCTTCGCGCTTTCGTTAGCTCCCGTGTATAATGTACCGTAGACACGCGCGTTTGAGCTTATTATTGCCGTACAGCAGTGAGGGATCGCGTTACACCGTCGATTGCGAGCCGTTTCCATCAACTCGGGCCGCATCTACGATGAATATGCGCTTCGAGCCGACTTTTCATTGATTTCTAAACGCAATCTCGGGTTTCTCCCTCTCGATTTTTTTTTTTTTTTTTTTTTTTTCTCTTCTCCAATCAAAACAACCTTGGTGTTTGGGATACATCGGGTCAGTATTATAAAAGCTTGCAATGGATATAGAACTCGAGTATTCGCCCAAGTGCAATGTCACCTGTGTCGACGTCCCGGAAAAAAAGTGATATCCCAGAGAAAATGAATCAATTGTGCTTACTAATAGCGAGATGGCAAATTTTCCGAGATAGCCAATCGGAGGTAAACGGAGAGATACTGTATCGTCCGTGTAATACGTCGTAAGGTTATACAGTTGCGTCTTTAGGGACAGCCCGAGCTTCCGAGAAGACATTCGCAGTCGATGACGCCAACTGCGGGAGAGCGAGAGATAAGCGAGGGAGCAAAAAAAAAAAAAAAAAAATTCGGGGGAATACCCTCCTGCCGATCTTCTGCGTGGTACATAATACAGCAGAAGCGTTTTTTAAAAAAACTTTTGGGTTCTTCCGTGGACAGGACTAATATTCGTGTTTTGCAACGAGCAACGACTCGAGACATATTATATGTAGTATTTGAAAAAATTTTAATCTATCCCACGTTCTCGGAAAAGTGTGTAAACAAACGCGGTTATCCATCGTATATACGAAGAAAAAAAAATATATATATATATATTAATTATGTGATAAGACAGTAATCGTCACGCGACGACTTTGTCGGATTATCGTCCCTACAGAAACTGTTTTTAATGAGCTCATTAACCAGCCGACATTCATAACTCGTACACTATACTTTGTAAATAATGTTATCTGAAAATTAAAAAACCACCTTGTTTTCGCGTTGCTTCGAAACATTGTTGTATTGTTTTTCGCCGGCTGCTCATTTGTTTCCAATTGAATACAATGTATACCCAGTCCCGTCATTTACGCGGATCGGACAGAGCCGACGGTTTCGGCTGCATCGTTTGCGAAGCCGGCCGGCGTGTACCAAAAAAAAAAAGTGGGAGAGGTGGGAATCACGCATATGTATACATAGCAGCTCTTTGTGACGTAGACACGTCGCACTTATAACGCGTTTATATATATATATCGAGGCGCATCGCTCGCGCCGCACGTGGCTCGTTATCACCCCAGCAACATGTTATACCCGAGCGCTTTGCGTCGCAGTAGCGTTGACGCAACCACACCGTGAACACGCTCCGTTGATCTGCAGTTTGGTATATTGTAGCCAATGCGATTGGTATAACGGAGGTAGAGCTTGCTGTGGAAAAAACTACGCAGTTTTTCTCGAGCTGTACACAACTCGTGTGTTTTTGTGCCGTTTACGAGGCACGATAATAAATAGGTACATGGGTATTTATAAAAACTGATGCGTTGTGTTGTTTGTTATTTATTAAGTGATTGCTCGTTAGAGTTGACTTTTTTCGGTGAAAGGAAAAAAAAAAAGAAAAAAAAAGTGAATTTTTTGTTTTCAATTTTGTGGTTACAGGGGACGACCCGGCTGTCAAAGCGCATCGACGAGGTGCGACTGCTCGAGTCCCGCAAGAGCGCCCGGCTAGCGGACTCGGACACGGACTTTGCCAGGCTGGCCGACATGGGCAGCGACCGTAAACGCTCCTCGTCCCACTCCATCGAGGTCCCGCAAGTCATAGGGTGAGTACTGATGTTTTCTTTTTCTTTTATTATCCACGTTGAATTGTATCGTTGAGGAGTTGACGATCGATCCCATCTCGACTCCCCCGTACATTTGGCCGATGAGAGAGAACAAAACGATCACTTGTTGGTTGATCATTAAATGAAAACGGTACCGATCTTTGATACGTTATCGAAATTGGGATTTTTAATTATTCAGCTATACCCTATTTCATTGATGCTCAATAACGTCAAAAGCACAATAACAGCCCAAAAAGGATATGGATTCAAAATTTTTGCTCAGCTCACCCCCGCGCTGATCTGGAAATCCCATGTATAGGTCTCCGCGTATTGTTGAACCCAAGGGGGATAAAGAGCCTCGAAAGCCCAACGCGCGGAAACAAAAAAATGGTGAGCGTGAAAACTATTTTTCCCCTCTGCTGAATCCGCAAAGGCAGGTACGCGTGTACGTCCACACACACTGGCATGTACCTGCCGCGCCTCTACATTTCACGATCGTGTATATTTAAAAATATAAAGACCGGCTTTTTTTTTTTTTTTTTTCTTTTTAATAAACCAAGCAAGTCGATACAGTCAAGCCGGCCGGCAAGTTCCCATTAAAAAATACAGTCGCGGATGGAGCCGTTAACACCGCTAATGTATAAATGCAGATGATTTAAGAACATAATTACATTGACTAGTCACGAGCTGTACTTAATTTCATTCCCCCACATTCAACCAAAGGTGTAGGTACGCGTCCTTGTAAATAGATACCCTGTATATAGTCTCACCGAGAGTCACACGAGCGAAAACATCCTCGTCGTATTTTTTTTCTTCCACTACTCTTAAGTACGTAAGCGTCTGTATAGGACCCACTAAACGCCTGGTATCAAAGCGCTGCTCCCACGTCCGTGTTTGTATATATATATACGTACGCAAGGTACCGGCGACGACATGGGCACACATAACGGAGGTATGTACAAGTTTAAAAATAGAATTTCGCTCGTGCTCGCGTAGGTATGCATATATACATTGGTATACACGGCCCACCTGTACTGGCAACGGTATTGGTATGTTATACAAGGGAAAGCGCGTCGCGAGTCGCCTGTATATATACATACGATCGATCAGGTTTTTTAGGCCCCGTTGCGTAGCATTTGGATTCTTTAGTGCCGAGTCACTGTTGTCGGCAATGCTGAATATTGGAAGTTGTTTTTTTTTTTTTTTTTTTTTATTCTCCCTTCGCGTTAAACATTTCCAGCTTTCTCCTCGCCAATACGGTTCGAGTGACGATCACAATGAGCCATTTGAAGCAATCGGCTCGTCAAAACTCCGCGACAATGTCATCGGTGACGCGCGAAAATTTGTATTCCCCAGCTCGAAGAAAAGAAAAAAATGAAAACAGTTGCGTCTCTGCGAGCGCAGACCGTGGAATGCGCCGATCAGCGTTACCAGAGCCGACGGAGTGATCTTTTCGGTCGATGCACCGGCACGTGTCGAAGATATAATTGTAATAAAGTTGGGACGGATATGATGAAGAAAAAAAAGAAGAATCAGTATCAATGGCACACAAGAGCGCGGGGAAATCATAATCACTATTTATCACGAAGCTTAATGACAATACGAGTCGTATAAAATATATAAACAGCGATAAGGAACGTAAGTTGCAGATTAAAAAAGAAAACAAAAAAACAACGAAAGTCAACTTAAAAAGATGAGGTCACTTTTTTAATCTCGAGCTTCCGATGTTTGCTTGGAGCACCTTGTTATCGTCGACGTAGCGAATAATCGGACTCCATTAAAAACCAATCAGACCCGAGCCGGAACGCTACATGAGTGCATTAGACCCGCGATCAAAACAAATATTGTCGGAGCGAGCTTTCGTAACTATTCCGCGGTTGGAGCAACATCGTCCATTTGATTATACATTCAAGAAGTCACACACACACGGAACCATTGTATAACATACGGTTGCGCAAAGAAAAGAAAAAACAAATCGTTAATTCATGGTATACGATTTCTATATTTCTCCATCCCGAAATAGCCCGCGTTGCTTCCTTCGCAGGCGCGGGCGTGCGAAAACGAAGGGAGAAACAATAGCCGCGCAATTGAGGTGTATACGGAGGTGATGGCACTCGAATGAGCGGCGGTTAAGGAGGAGCCCGGCCATCATGGGAACCAAAAGGAAGAGAGATCGGCTCGACGCGTTGACTTCCCGGTTTCACTGCCCAAGGAGCCCCTAGACCGTGAAGGGAATTGGCGCGCTGCGCACCTGTCTTCCCATAAAAACCCGCGCGTGGGAGAGTAAGGGCCTGTTGATGCACGCTCCATCAGCCACGCGGATTTTTGTCGAATCGCGGGTACCTATACATCCAAAAACGAGAGGAGGTGATAAAACGAACTGTAACGCCTTCGGGGGGGTACGAATGTCTTTTCAGCAAAGTCCGCGCGTAAAAACAAAATAAAAACAGTATACACCTTATATACACACAAATGGTACAGTTAGCTGATGAGCACCTTGGCGCGCGGCTTTACGATTTCCAGGGAGAGAAACGAGCCGGTAAGCGTCGTTACGAGGATGATGATGGTGGTCATTGTCATTATCAGCGCTGCTCATGCTAAAGTTCTCTGCTTTTTTTTTTTTTTTTTTTTTTCGTTAGCCAATGGGCAGAAAGAGGTATATTATGTGTGTATTGTATATAGCGTGCGAGATTGGAGTTTACCTTTTCTTCAGCTCAAAACTACGCGCTTAAGGTGTATACAGGGGCTGCTGAAGAAAGATCTCTTTCTTCTCGAGTGTGTCGCTGTTGTACGCGTATTATAAATATATAATGGGTACCTATTTCTTATGGATTATGCAAGGCCAGACGAGCCATAAAAAAATTCTAGAATTTTGTTTGCGCGAGTACAATTGTTACACGCTGCTACTACTTGTATACCATCGGTTAAAAACGCGTTTTCCATCTGTATAACATGTTTGGTACTGCTCACACTCCAAGGGGGTTTTACGGGTCAGTGAGAATTTTCTTCCAATTCGATTTCTCGATATAAATAACTCCCTCGCCGCTATAAACTAAAGGCGCTGTTGTCTAAAACTATCAAGTACATAAAAAAAAAAAAAAAAAAAAAAAAAAAAAAAAAAAAAGAACCACCAACGCGCTAGTTGCATCCATTTAAATAATTTAAATGAAAGAAAGAAAAAAAGTCCAATTTAAATAACGGGCCCCAAACGCTTCCCCCCTAGAATTTTTTATCTCTATACGCATTACAATGAGCATACACGCAGTTGCTCTACTCTTATTCGCTTCCCCACTCCCCATCAGCCGTTCCCTCGTCTCGTGCCCCATCTGTATACAACATTACCCAACTTCGGTGACATGGCCTATCCCAATATTCCCGTCGACCGTATGATATAAATATACATGTATATACACGGCCCCCAAAGAGAAGCGTCACGCTTATATATATATTTGTACGCGTGAAACGGGGAGAAAAATCCCTTCCCTTCCTCTATCGTCCCGATGGACATGTTGTTCCGTTACTCGCGATTGCGCTATAAATAAAAAAACCAATGTTTATTCGTTTTCTCTCGTCTCCGAATGTTTCGTCCATGTTGTTTTCACCTTTTTCTTCTTTGAGGGAAGATTTTTTTTCTCTCCCGGTTTTTCCACTGTAGGCACACGTCGCAAAATTCCCAAAACACGCTTTGTGAGCACATGTAGATAGAGTCTCGGTGGTGGTGGTATATGCTCGACTTTTTTCTTCCTCTGGTGCTCTTCAACGTTAATGCATGTCGGGCCTACACATTGTACTCTCGCAAGCCGTGGTATACAACCCATGTATATCCAAGTGCGTCTCTGTATCATTCTTTTTTTTTTTTTTTTTTTTTTTCTCTCTCCATCTCTCTTTCGCCCACACGTCACCGGGAAAGTACGAAGCGACCCAACGATACAGATATCTGTGTGTGCTTACGTTTCAACCTCTCGGTCCCAAGTAGAGCCGAGAGAGAAAAAAAGGAGGGGCACAGAAGCGTAGTTGGAACAAGAAAAGCTGGAAATAACGTGTATAATGGTATATATACTTACGTATTCGTGATGACCGAAGCTGAATTTCGGGGAGGACGGAAGAAGAGGGAAAGCGAGGTCCCCTCGGCGAACTTTACGGCAAATGGTTGGCATCAGAAAGCGGTCTTTTCTCTTGACCGCGCACGCGCTCTTGCCCCGTTTATCGTCGGGACGCTACTTTTCTCAGTGATGGGAAAACGCGCTGCCATGGTGGAAACAAAGAGCGCTTCAGCAGCCAACACTCATACGTGCATCTTGCATGGATATATCATAGTATATCATCTCCTCTCCTGGCAACCATCACCTCTTTTTCCCTTCGTCCGAGACTTTTCCCGCGACCATAACGCTTTCCCGCCCGTTACCATATGTATTGTATATACCCGAGTGGGTTTTCTTCTGGTTCCTTTCCCCCTTTTTCAAGCTCGTGCGCAAGCGCCTCCGACACCGTTACCTTTCGAAATTTCTCTCTCTCTCCTCGGTCGAAAAAAAAAAGTAAAAAAAAGGGGGGGGGGGAGAACGCGTCGGCCACCATACCATATGCCGGACTTTTTGAGAAACTTGTTTTTGTTTTCCATCCCATGGGAAAAAAAGGTTGGATCGATGCGCTCCTTTCCTCTTCCACTACCCCCGAAAAATAACAGGGCCTTTCTTCGCGCGTGTGCGCCCAACGGATGCCGCTTATCACGACCGCGTCGCTTTCCCCCAAAGGTTTTTTTTCCCCCTCCCCCCCTTTTATGGTTATCAGCGGGAATTTCCCGAGAGAAGAAAAATACCATACATCACTGCCCCCTAATCGACCGTACATACGTAGCAGCAGGAAGTTACGCGCGGCGGGACCCGCGTATAAGTGAGTATTGAAAAATGTTACCGGCGACATCATTTCCAATATCGACTTGCCTCTACACAATGTTGAATATTTATAGTCCTCATTGATAAGTGTGTATATAATTACGTGCA